AGGCTGAGGCACGAGAATCACTTGAATCCGGGAGGCGGAGGTTGCACTGAGCCAAGATTGCACCACTGCACTCCAGCTTGGGCAACAGAGCAAGATTCCAGCTCAAAAAAGTAAATAAATAAAAAAATAAAAATAAAAATAAATTAAAACAGGACTTTAGCAAAGATACTGAGAAGAGCTATATTGAAAGTTCAAGATACTGCCTGCAAGATACATGAGGAAAAGATATAAAACAAATTCTATTTACTACTGACCTTTACCACAGGTAAGTCAAAGACTTCCCGAGCTTCTCCCACCTCTGGATTGTCCCCATCCTCTGAGATTATGTGTGAGGCTAGTGCATTGTAGGAAACTTCCTTCGCTTTTCCAGCCTTGAGAAGCTGAATAACCTAAAAAACAAGAAAACCCACACAAATTAAAATGGGCAATAGTGTACTGCACTCTTGAATTACAGAAATAATTATTGGGTATAAAGCAATTTTTAATAAAAACACACCATGTTCCCCACATAAAAATTAACAGCCTTTTACTCTGAATAATATGCCAATGAAACTTCTGGGGACAATCAAAAGCAGCAAATCTTGATTCACCGACCAACTAATGGAGGCTATTGTGAGTCAAGTACTGGACATGGTCTGTCCTCAAGACAGATGGGCTGGACAAACCAGGAGACAGCACAATCACTGCTGCGGTGGGGCCACGCACATGGCGCTCCTGAGCTTCCAACTTAAAGGCTGGGGCATGTGGAGTTTCACCACAATTAGGGAAAGATTCTGCAAAAGGAGATACGTGAGCAGAACCCTCGTGAACGTCTGGGTGTCAGGCAAAAATCTATACATCAAGAAAGAGGGAGCAGTGTTGAAGGCACTGAACAGGTGAATACAGAGCAGACCATAAATGGGCTTTCTTACACACCACACAAAAAAGTCTGTGCTTCATTCTGGGGTATATGCAGGGCCACTGAAGGATTTCACACAGGAAAAGTAGCACAGATTTCCTACAAAGACGACTGTCCATGTGAAAAGAATGGATTGGGTGGGCTGGCTGGGTTTGGTTGGCTGGGTGACTAAAGACAAGAGGCCCATTAAGAAACAAGTGCAATAACCCAGGTGAAAGAGGCATCCACTAAAGGGATGTCATGAGGGGCAGAAAGGAGGAAGAGGTGAGAGAATCGGCAAGCCTTGGTGTCCGGAAGGGGTATAAGCACGAGAGCAATGTCCATACTGAAATGGTGGTAAGTACCACTCACTGAGGAACACGTTAGAAGGCCGGCAGGTGGGGGACGCAAGGACGTGTTTTAGTTTGGGCATGCCATTTTTGAGGGGCCATGTGTAATATCTGGCAAGAGGCATCCAGTTGCAGCTAGGAAAAGATGTGGATCTCCCTGACAGAAAGTCATCAGCATATTACACAGACAGGAGCCACAGCCATGAGCATGAAGGTGGTTGCGGTGCAGAGTGGCAGGGGACCTAGAGAACAGACACAGCAACTGATACTTCAGGGACAGGTAGGAAAGTGCAGTATCACAGGAGACGAGCATCAGCACAAGCCAAGGAAGTGAGGGTTAAGGAAAAGCCGACGGTCAAGCGCTTCAGAAGAGGTGGGAGTGTCTAAGCTGACAGTGCACACCAACTGTCAAAGTGACATGGTGCCCACAAAGCTCAAGTGCCACAAGGGCAACGCCCTCTTCCAGGTCCCCTCTCTGCAGCAGAGAGCTTTCTTTTTTCACTTATTAAACTTTTGCTCCAACCTCGAAAAAAAAATAAATAAATAAAGTGACCCACAAGCTAGACAACCTTTTCAGAATACTTTACTGACCACTAATAGATATGAACTAGAGAAGAGGCTCAATATTTAATAAGTGAAAAAACAATGGTCGCTGGCCATGGGCCACTTTAACCTTTCTTCCTTCCCTTGACCTCTAAGCATTTTCAGCTTCACTCATTCATTCGACTGGTTTTCAGAAAAGGCACCCCTCCTTTTCCTATCCTCCAGTCTGTTTCTGATTCTACTGCCTTCTTCATGAGTCTCCCTGTCCATAGCTATGTTCCTACCACCCGTAAACAGTGAAATTGCCCACATCCTTCCACACGCTTGTGATGCAACACAGATCCCTCCCCAGCCCTCTCTTCCCCAGGCACCTTCTCTATTTCCTTCTCAGGACAAATTTCCTGAAGAGTCTAACCTTTCTGTTCTCAGTTTCCATTCACTCTTCAACTCCCTGCAATCCAGCCCCTTCCACCAACACTCTACCAAAAACACTTTACTCGATTTTCACGAACTTTGAGGATGTCAAAACCAATAGCTTCTCCTCAATCTCCACACTACTGAATATCTTAATAGATTTATCTCAAGTCACTCTGTTCCAGATATAGTGATCATCCTGATGTATCCCAAACGCACGAATGCCTCATTCCTCAGCACATAGCTCCACATGAAAATATTCCTTCGTGTTCTTAACTTCTGCTTATCTCAAAACTCAACTGAAATGACATTTCAGTGGCGTCTACTGTGCACCCCAGTGGAGAAATCTGCTACACCTTGTACTGTGATGTGTGCTCCCTTCCCCACCAATGAGGGGCGCTCAAGGGCAGGTACCATGTCCTCTTCACCTCTGTATTATACCTGGCACCTAGTCCATGCCTGCCTCATACTAGATGGTCAACACGTGAACTTATAATAATTCACAATCACAAGAGTCAGAGAATCAGATGTCCAGGCTCAAAACTTTTCAGAAAATACAGTTTCAGATGAAAGCGGTTTGCCAAGGACATTTTTAAGCACTTAGATTTCATTCATAGTCGAGTAAATATGGTTCCAGTTCAACTTGTTCCAGGTTTTCAGTAACATTTGGTTCAACTCCCCTGAAAGAGCCAAAGTCCTAAAATGAAACATGAAGGCAAGGAAGGAGGCGGAAGAGAAAAATGGTGGATAGAAAAAAAAAAAAAGGAGGGGGTCGCGGAATCATCATCAATACTCGAAAAAGCTCATACTGTTACAGGCACTCATTTTGATCACTCCGTGTTCAGCAACCGTTTTACTCTTTAAATTCAAAGACATAAGTCTTTTTTTTTTTTTTCTTTTTTGGGACGGAGTCTCGCGGTTGTTGCCCGGGCTGAAGTGCAATCTCAGCTCACTGCAACCTCCACCTCCCGGGTTCCAGCCATTCTCCTGCCTCAGCCTCCTGAGTAGCTGAGACTACGGGCGTCCGCCACCACGCCCGGCTAATTTTTGTATTTTTAGTAGAGACGAGGTTTCACTATGTTGGCCAGGCTGGTCTCGAAGTTCTGGCCTCAGGTGATCCACCCGCCTTGGCCTCCCAAAGTGCTGGGATTCCAGGCGTGAGCCACTACCCTGGCCTTGAAGTCTCTTTACCCTAAAGTTACAGAGCAAAAAGGATCCAAAAAAGTTGTTACTAAGATACAAGGACGAACCTCAAGAAGGCCAAGATCAATCAGCCTTCTACAATTCCTTCTACACCATCCAAGTTTATCTGCTAAATATGAGTCTCCGCCCTTCCAGGGTTAATCTGATCACTGGGCACCCCCATCCTCCAAGGTAGGAGCCACTGATGTCACATCCAAGGCAACATAATCGTACAGTTAAACTTTTGAGAAGGAAATATTTTGAAGATTAACCTGAAGAGGATATTCAACTAAGATGCATTCCCACCACGAACTGATAACTGTGTGACATCAAACAGATGTATTATTATAGGAATAAAAGGAAAACCCACAATATCTTTTGGCGTGAGCCCAAACTACACAAAATTCAATGTGTAATGGGATGGCGTTACCAGGGTACCGTAAAATTAATCGTCCAACTGGGAAAATCAAGGAAGACGAATGCCAGCCCCACGTGCAGGGACACGGGTTGGAAAGGAGCGCTCCTCAGCCCCGCACAGGACGGCAGCTGCCCGGGTGGCGGAGGCGACCACGCCGGGGCACGGCCACGGTCCCCGCCGGCCCAGAGAGCCTGGGGCCCCCACGCGAGCTGCCCCGGCTGGGGATCCCGGCGCCCCTCGTCCGCCCTCAGAGCCGCTCTCCCGGGAGCCGAGACGCCCGGCGCGGGGAAGGGGGAGACGCGACCCGGCGCCAGTCCCGCTCAGCAAAGGAGCAGAGAGCGAGGGGGCCCGTTGGGTGGGGGGCGGCGACCCCAGGGCCGCAGGCCGGGGGCTCAGGGCACGCACTAGGGACGGAGGCACAGAGCTCCCGCCGCCCCGGCCGCCCTCCCTCCCGCACTCCCCCGTGCCCCGGCCTCCCGCGCCCACCCCGCGGTCGCCCCTGCCCTCCGCGCAGTCAGGCCGGCGGCCTCGGCGGACCCGACGCTCTGCGCCCGGCGCGCGCCCGCGACAGGAGCGGGGACGGGGACGGGAACGGGGACGGACGGGGACGGGGACGCGGACGCGGGAGGAGGCCGCGGCAGGAGCGGGCGCGGTACCTGCGGGTCGATGTCGCCCACCGCGTAATACTTGACCTCCCTGAACATCTCCTCAGGAACTTTGAGCGCCTGGTCCGACATGATCGCGGCGGCCCGGGAGGCTCCGCGGCAGCGCCCGGCCCCGCCCACCCCCCGCCCCCGGCCCCGCGGCGCCCGGCGCCCCCGCTCGCCCCGCCAACGGCACTGCCCGCGCGGCCCGGGCCGGGTCCTGCGAATCGGGGTCCGCTCCCCCGCCCTCCGCGCCCCCGCCCGCGCCCGCGCCGAGCGCCCGAAGCGCGGGAGCCGCGCGCGCCCTGCGGGACGCACCATCCCGCCCCTGCCACCGAGGGGGAGCGCCGAGGAGCCGCCCGGCCTCCAGCAACGCCCCGCGCCTCTGCCGCCACCCACGGCTCCGGGAGAGCTGGGGCCCACCGGCCCGCTCTGGATCTTGCGGTTCCATCTCCGCCGCTGTGCAACGAGGGATCCCGGGGGACGAGGTGAAACCCGCGCCCCCCTCGGCGGGGCCGGAGTGAGCCGGTCCCGGGAAGGAGGGGAGCGGGCAGGCCCCTCCCGTCACCACACGCGGCTGCTTGGGGGCTGCGCATGCGCGCGGCGGAGGGGCGGGGCTTCGGGGCTGCTAGTGAGAGCTGGAACCGGGCTGCGGCCTCTCGGGCGTCTTGTCCCCGGGCAGAGTGGGGCTGGGTGTCCCGGCTCTTCTCAGTGGCCACGGCTGAGCCTGGAGTAGTGGCTGAGCCGCTCTGGCCGAGCAAGGCGCGGGTCCCCACTCTACACCTTGCTGGACCCGGCTCCGCGGTGACGGAATTCCCGAGGCCGCAGTGTCACGCAAGACGCGCACTGGAGGCCGCCGTGGCGAGTCCTGGGGTCTCCGCCAGGCCTCGACGCCCGAGCTGGGGACGTGCTGAAGGGACGCCCGGCCCCGCCGCTGCCCGAGACCCTGCTGTCCCGGCCGGGCCCGGCCTGGTGGCTGGGGTCGTGTCCGGTCCGCGCTGGAGGAGAGTCCCAGACGGCAGAGCCCGCGGTGCAGCTCCAGCCCCGGAAAGCCCCGCGCTCAACAGGTTAATACTACACAGCGGCGATTCTAATGCTCATGCTTGTATTTACAGCTCGCCTCCCTTCTGCCAAGATTCACAAAACACGGCAGAGTGTCCTCGGCATCACCTGCCCGAGACACCTGCACGACCGGAAGTTGGGAGAAGAAATAAGGCCATGATGACGAACGCAGCCTTTCACGTTTGTTTCCAATCTCACAACAAACCGGAGACCAGGAACTCTTGGGTGATTATCGGAATATTACCTAGTCCTAAAACTGTGGAGCATTGGTTTCTAAAGGAATCTGAGACAGGCCCGCAGTGTCTTCTCCACATGCCTTAAGTCTTTTCTGCAAAGCAGAAAACCATTTTTAAGTAAATGTTAGTGAAATTGGTTTTAAAAAAGAAAAGTCAGAGCGGGGTAGCTCACGCCTGTAATCCTAGCACTTTAGGAGGCCGAGGTGGGCGGATTGCCTGAGTTCAGGGGTTCGAGGCCAGCCTGGGCGACACGGTGAAACCCCGTCTCTACTAAAATACAAAAAATTAGCCGGGCGTGGCGGCGCGCGCCTGTAGTCCCAGCTACTCAGGAGGCTGAGGCAGGAGAATAGCTTGAACCCGGGAGGGTGAGGTTGCAGTGAGCCGAGATTGTGCCACTGCACTCCAGCGTGGGCGACAGAGAGAGACTCCATCTCTTCGAAAATAAAAAGAAAAGGCTTTCAAAATTACTCTGTGGTACACTAATATGACAGATTGGATCACTTTCCAGGCTTTAAGTTGGCCTTTGTTCTACCTTTTTTTAGTGTGTGATAAAATTTGTGTTGGTTCCTTGATCAGCATGCAGTGAACGCTGGCTCTTGTTAATCAGGTGAATACAGTTTTGTCTTTACATTTGTATGTATGTCATGAGTGGTTTTGTATGGGCAAGAGGTAAACAACACATTTAAATATACTTAATGATTTATCATTCCAATGTTTTGTGGGTTTTTTTAGTCTTTTTCATTTGTCTGTTGAACAATCTGAAACATCCCTATTCTAAGGCTAAAAAATTTCTTTTACAAACTTAGGTTAAGCATTCCTAATCTGAAATCCAAAATGCTCTAAAATTAGAAATTTTTTGCTTGCTGACGTGACCCCACAAATGGAAAATTCAAGAAGTGCCCTCATGTGACACTGGGTCACAGTCAAATCACAAGCCTGGTGTGGTGGGCACCTGTAATGCCAGCTACTCGGGAGGTTGAGGCAGGAGGATTGCTTGAGTCCAGCCTGGACAATACAGCGAGACCCTGTCTGTAAACAAAACAAAACAAAACAAAAACATTTTTTAAAAAACGCCACCACAACTTTGCTCTCATGCACAAAATTATTTAAAATATATAACCTTACCTTCAGGCTATGTGGGTAAGGTGTATGTGAAACAAATGAATTTCCCTTTTAGACTTGGGTCCCATCCCCAAGATATCTTATTATGTATACGCAAATATCCCGAATCAAAAATATCTGAAATACTTTTGTCCCAAGCATTTCAGATAAAGGTTACTCAACCTGTAATAAAAACACTGAGTGCTTGCCTGAAGGAAAAACCCAGAATTTATCATCCATTCTTAAAATTTTTATGACATCCTTTGTAATCAGGAAACCTTTTAATACCTAATAATATATTTGATATATTCTGGTATACACTTTTCATTATGAAAAATAATTCTATGTTGGGAACATATCAGTGTAATAAATATGTTAGATCCAAAATACAGATCATGCCTTTTTATCGACCTGTGTGAGAGAACTTATTTATCCTTTTTTTAATTTTTCTTTTATTTATTTATTTATTTATTTATTTATTTATTTATTTTTTTGAGATGGAGCCTCACTCTGTCACCCAGGCTGGAGTGCAGTGGCGTGGTCTTGGCTCACTGCAACTTCTGCCTCCTGGGTTCAAGCGATTCTCCCGCCTCAGCCTCCTAAGTAGCTGGGACTATAGGCGTGTGCCACCACATCTGGCTAATTTTGGTATTTTTAGTAGAGACAGGCTTTCACTGTGCTGACCAGGCTGGTCTTGAACTCCTGACCTTGTGATCCTCCTGCCTCGGCCTCCCAAAGTGCTGGGATTATAGGCGTGAGCCATCGCGCCTGGCCCTCCTTTTGTTTTTCTTGGTTAAACACAAACTAAGCATGTGATTTTATGTTAAAAGACCTGAAGTGGGCCTCAACCAGGTGTTTTATTTTGTAAATTAAGAAAGCAATTCATAACGTTCAAAAGAACAAGCTTACCCTACTTCAGGTTCTGATGGTCAATAACGCAAACTGGGATTAAGAAATCTGCTATGTAAGGCCGGCATGGTGGCTAACCCCTATAATCCCAGCACTTTGGGAGGCCAAGGCAGGCAGATCACTGGAGGTCAGGAGTTCAACACCAGTCTGGCCAACATGGTGAAAGCCTGTCTCTACTAAAAATACAAAAATTAGCTGGGCATAATGGCATGCGCCTGTAATCCAGCTTCTTGGGAAGCTGAGACAGGAGAATCACTTGAACCTGGGAAGCAGAGGTTGCAGAGAGCCGAGATCACACCACTGCACTCCAGCTTGGGCGGCAAAGTGAGACTCTAAATAAATAAGTAAATCTGCTATTTAAAACCCCATCAACTAGTCAGAATTTGTAAAATACCACATGTGAACTGTGCAAGTTGGTCCACATCACATAAGTGGATTTTATGGCAGCAGCATCAGGAAGGCCTGGAGGCAGTGTCACACAAAGAAAATGTACCTCAGAGAGTCTCCAATACTACTACTTGGCCAGTAATGAAAAATAAAAATGTTTACATTAGGTTAATTTCATGTGGATAAAGTATGTTCTGAGGCAGTCTAAAAAACTAGCATCCTGACATCATGAAGAGTAACCCATCTAGCAGAGGACGTAAAGATGGCAAGTCAGTTTTTAAAAGACAAGTGGTAAACTCATAGAAATTATCTTCCCCAAAATGGCCATATGCAAAGTTGTAGGAACAAAATATCGTGTCGACAGTGCTGTATCTTATTCACAGTTAAATAAAATTCTTATTACTGGTTTTGTGACACTTCAAGGATGAGCCATTTTAGTGTGGTAACTATCAGTTTATTAACCAAAAGCTTTGCATTTGTTTAATTTGAAGCATATGACTTCCAGATATGACACTGAGCATTAGTATTTTTAGACTTCCCCCAAGTAAATTGAAAGAATGTTGATTTTGTTGGTGATCGGCCTTTGGAGAATTAAACAGCCTGCTTACTGCCAGCCCTAGTTCAGTAAATATGGTAATATGTTTCTTATTTTCTATTTTGCACAATTAGATAACCTAAGCCTAGGAAAAATAAAAAATTAGAAAAAACAAAAGTAGAGTTGGGGATATTTAACTCAAATTGCACTTACTGGTGGACACTCGAGGCATTTATTTAGATTATTTCCAACTGGCTTTTAAAAAATGTATTTCTGTATTATATACAGCAGTCTCAGTCTTCATCTCTCCAGTCCAGTTAGCCATACATCCCTTAAAATTAGATGTTTTTAATGTTTAGTAAACCTTTAGTTTGGTTTATAGACAACATTTAACATGCTCATGAAAGGGTCAGAATACTCAAGTTTCTAGCACAAACAGGCCATAGTTGAATTGCAGGAGAAACTGCGAACTCAAAAGAGCACTGCTTCTCTGTAGGAAAGATTCCATCAGTGGACCTACAGGGCACAGTTGCCACCAGTGTCATGTAGCTATTCAGTGTCGGAAAACTAGAAATCACAGGTTAAGAAAAAGTGTAGATTACCCCAAATTCGATACCCAGAAGCAACCACTATTGAAATCCTTCAGACATTGTCCCATATAAATATATTTCTTTCCCTAAAAAAAATTACACCCCATACTCTGCCACTTCAGAAAAATCAAGACTGTCTTTCCATGTCAATAAATATCTATATCATTTAATGGATACATAATACTCCCTTGTTTGAATGTACAATATTTTATTCTGTATTGTTGCACATTTGTTGTTTCGAATTTAACAAGTACAGTACTCCAATGAAGCAATCATCTTAAAATATGAATACATGTATAAAGTATTATAAGGTTCCGTCCTTTAAGGTTAGAAACGACATCCCATACCTGTCTCCCATCACTCTGAGGACAGTGCGGTAGCAGGATCAGTGATTCTCAACCATGGGCAATTTAGCCCCCTATGGCACATTTGATAATGGGGACATTTTTGGTTGTCACAACTAGGGGTTAGGGGATAGGAAGCGTGCTAAACATCATGCAACTCGCAGGACTATCTTCCATGACAAACGACCCGTGCAAAATGTCAATAGTGCCACTGTTGAGAAACCTGGATTAAGATCATGTTGTAACTACATTTCAGTGGAATAAGACTTTGAAAGTTTCGACCGGGCACAGCGACTCACGCCTGTAATCCCAACAATTTGGGAGCCCGAGGCAGGTGGATCACTTGAGGTCAGGAGTTCGAGACCAGCCTAGCCAACATGGTGAAACCTCATCTCTTACTAAAAATACAAAAACTAGTTGGGCATGGTGGCGTGCGCCTGTAATCCCAGTTACTCGGGAGGCTGAGGCACGAGAATGGCTTGAACCAGTGAGGTGGAGGTTGCATTGAGTCAAGATTGCACCACTGCACTCCATCCTGGGTGACAGATCTAGACTCTGTCTCAGAAAAAAAAGAAAGTTTCTTGCACATAACACCTTGGTGGCTTGCTTCGGACAGCTTTCTTCCAAATGGGACTTGGCTTCTGTCATCATGGGGCTTTGCCAGCTATACAGATGAGGACAAAGCACATAGAGTATCCTGCTGCAGGTTCTATGCTTGAGCTAGCAAGAGTGGCACACATTCCTCCAGCCATTTCCACTGGCCAGAACCTGGTCTCCTGACACCTCCGTAAGCTGCAAAGGAGACTGCTGGTTGATGTGGTCTTCTTACACGTCTAAGAAAAGAAAATGACATTGATGGTATCTTGCCAATTTTTGCCATTTTTGGTTTTCAAAAAAATTCTTATATAAATTAAGATTAGAGAGTGTAATATAATATTACACAAAATTCTCAAAGATAATTTCAAAAAAATACCCTTCAGCTACTCAGTAGATATTTGTTGAATTTGAGGTTACTGGCTTTATACATAGAGGATTAAGTGTATTCTTTTTCCCTCCTGGCCAAATGGCAAAACCCCATCTCTACTTAAAATACAAAAAAATTAGCCAGGCGTGGTGGTACACGCCTGGAATCCCAGCTACCCGTGAGACTGAGGCACAAGGATCGCTTGAACCCGGGAGGCAGAGGTTGCAGTGAGCTGCGATCACGCCAGCCTGGGCAACAGAGTGAGAGTCTGTCTCAAAAATAAACAACAACAAAAACAGCATTCTTTTTTAAAAAGCAAACACAAGGTAGTTCTCCGAGGTATGTGAGTGATGTGTTAGATATCTTCCATTTGTCCCACTCCCCATGTCAGATCTGTACTCCATCCTGCTCCACCTTTTTCTCCACCCCTGGGTGCTGACCTGAGCAGATTATATAAGTAGGATCCCTTGCACATTGGCTTCTAGTTGAATTTGGTCAATGGGGAGTCCCAGCTGAAGGCTGGGAAGTGAGGGGAGGGAGGAAAGAGGTATTAGGGTGTTTATTTCCCAGGTTCCTCGTCAGCTTGCCTTGAGCTGGCAGAGGAGCCCGTTCTATACAACTCTCTCCTTCCAGGTCCTGGGAATCTTTCCTTCGTCTCATCACTTGGACCTACGGGTGGTGAGGGCTCACCTGCTTCTCCCCCCAGCTCCCTTCACTCTCCATGCATCCCGCCTACACCTTTGTAAGTAGTCCCTTGATAAACCTTCTCAGATGATTGTAATTTGAGTGTGCTGCTCCCAGTGGTGACCCTGTTGTGATGGACAGGAAAATCTTACAGGGACAATGAGACATTCTTAAAATATTGTGTCTGCTCTCAAAAAACTGACAAATATTTGGATGCACAAACCTAACACTAGTGGGATTCTGTAGAAATGCAGCAGAGATTTAGAAAAGAGGTTCCCGTGTGCCAGAACAGCTGGGGGAAAACTCTTGGATGGAGTGGGCTGAGGGGAATAGTTCTTGAAGGGAGAGGAGAAACCACTGAAAAGAGGTCAGAATACTGACTGCCAAATGGGTGCACATTTGGGATATTAAATAACTGATGATTTAAGGTAGAAATGGGGAATAATAAGAAATAATAGGCTGTGTCTAGCGTATGAAGATCTTGGACCTCATCAGAGGAGGTTGTTGCATTTGACTTAGCATAGTTCTGGGGCTGTGAAAACAGAAAAGAAAATTGCTTACCAGCTATTTAAAGTTAAGTACTTGGTGACAAGCTGGCTATGGGATTGACTGTTTACTCATGTTGTGGGTAAACAAAAAGACATACTGAATCTTAACTCAGATTTTAACCCCTGGTACCCGTGAGTGTGACCTTATTTGGAAATGGGGTCTTTGTCCACATCATTAAGATGAGGTCCTACTGGATGAGGATAGGACCTAAATCCAGTCACTGGTGTTCATATAAGAAGAAGAAAATTTGAACACAGACACCCAGGAGAGTGCCAAGTGATGACCGCGTCAAGGGTTGGAATGATGTGTCTGGAAGCTGAGGAACACCAAGGTTGTGGCAGACACTAGATGCTGGAAGAGGCCAGGACATCCCCTCCCCTAACGCCTTCAGAGGAAGCACGGCCTGGCCAGCACCTTGATCTTGG